CAGGTTCTAGTTCTAGTTGCAGGTTTTAGATCTGCTTTTTCACTGGTTATTAGTGTGTTGTGTTTAATAAACCCATGATCACATGTGTGAGTTATTTCTTAAGTTACTTGAAACTGCTTGAGATGTTTAAAACAGAAGCAATATACTGTTGAAAGTAGTCTAGATGACGAGGAATTCTATTTGGTTCACAGCTTCTTTTTCTCTCCAGAAGGGACATCCCCGCCCCCAACCCCAAAATAATGACAACAATACAAGATTTTACCTAGACCTAATAGTGCAGACTTCATATTGAATAATAATAATTATTTTTTTAAGAGATTTTATTTATTTATTTGACAGACAGAGATCACAGGTAGGCAGAGAGAGGAGGAAGCAGGCTCCCTGTCGAGCAGAGAGCCCCATGTGGGGCTCGATCCCAGGACTCTGGGATCATGACCTGAGCCGAAGGCAGAGGCTTTAACCCACTGAGCCACCCAGGCGCCCCATAAGTAATTATTTATTGACCATGATCTAGAAATTCCATATTATGTATTGTATTCGTCCAGGTTCTCTGAGGAGCAGATGCTAAGATGGGAACAGGAGTAAGAGATTTGTCATGTGAAATGCCTGTGAGGGGAGCTGGAGAGGCCGGAACAGCCAGCAGATTAAAATGCATATCTGACCCACGAGATGAGAGTAGGAGGGAAGGAAGGAAGGCACTGCAGGTCTAAAACAATTTCAGCGAGTTCAGTGACTGGCACGCTCTGCCATTGGTTGGCGCAGCTCGAGGGGGTGTGGCCCCAGCATGAAGTTGGAGATCGAATTGGCAGGAGCTAATCGTTGATGCCCCCGCCCCCAGAACCATAGATTTGAGTGACTTCTGCTCAAGGCCGTTGCATATATGAGACTACTTAATGCAGTTTTGAACATGAGCCTTAATATGAAATACATTAAATGTAATGCCAGATAGAGGAAAACAAACGTTATATTTCTATAAAGACAGAAAGGTAGGCTAATTTCGTAACATTTTCTTTTTTGATATATCTATTTTTTAGACCCTTTAAAAACTGAAGTTATGAATTAAGTGGAAAGTAGGAACTTACTTGGTTTGCACATTGCATAGTCACAAAGATGTGGGCCTCAAGTTTTTTAAAATGTCGTACTGGACTTTGTGTAAGGGAAGCTGGGGGGCTTAGGTCCTATTACTGATTTCTAGGACTTTTGATCTTGTAGGGAAAAAAAAAAGGCTAAAAAGGCTTTGGAAAGAAACATTGTGTTTTGAAAGTCATGTTTGAAAACTACCTTGAATGTGACACTTAGAGTGAACCCCTTTCAAAAAAACAAAAACAAACTAGCTCTCAGCATCTGTTGTACATTCTGAGTCAAAGTCTTGTTGGACATCAGGAAGGTGAGATGCAACATTATATTGGTCTGTAAGACCACGTTGTTGTAGAAAGCTTCCCTGTAGCTCTTATTCTAAGACCCAAACCTCAGTGCTCTGGAGGAACAGTTATTTTTTTCAGTCTACAGGAGCACAGTCACAATCAGTGTCAGCGACGAGCGTGTCTGGCTGTGCTCGAATGAGCCGGATGGCTCCCTATTTTGCCACACCTCCTTCTCACCTAGTCCTGGTAGAGCATGGCAGTCCTTCCCATCTGTCCACAGTCAGACTCCCTTTCTCTTCTGCTAGCATCCTGTGGGATATTAAGAACCTTGTTTCAAAAAGTGGCCGTTGGGCTTTTGCCAATAAGATACAAAGTTGGGCATGAGTGTTTAGATTTCAAAAGGTATTTGTTGGTACTTTAAAATAGTTTATTAGTTTATATTGATAGTTTAAACATGTTACATGATTATTTTATTATTTTATTATTTTTTAAGATTTTATTTATTTGGAAGAGAGAATGTGCATGAGCCAGGGGAGGGGCAGTTGGGAGGGAGAGAATCGCAAGCAGACTCCATGCTTAGTGTGGAGCTCTTGGCTGGGCTCGATCTCACGACCCTGAGATCATAAGCTGAGCTGAAACCAAGAGTGGGACGCTTGACCGACTGAGCCACCCAGGTGCCCCGCATGCGTATTGTTTTATAGAGATGGAAAATGGGAACTAGAAGGGGAAGAATTAAGGAGGAAAAAGGACTCACAGGCAAGACGTAGAGTGCAGTTGTCACATATCAGACTTGGCCTAAAATGGTCTGTGCCCCATGCCATCCTCCCACATACTTGGCCTGAGCTCACAGGGAGTGTGGCATCCCAGGCTCATCCCAGGAATGCTATTTTCACCATCTACATAAATGAGCCATCAGTCCAGAGGGGTCAGAGACAGCAAATTCAATAGGAAACCTCAACAGTGTGTATCAGAAAACCAGGCTAGACTAAGAAGGATTGAAGGACGTTATGGTTGAGCGGTGGGGTTTGGTCTTGTCTGCTTGGGCAAGAATGGAATTATTAAGGGCACTAAATGGGGGTGGACTATTAAAAACAGATGCTGTTTATAAAAATTGCAGCTTTGTTGAGATATAATTCACTTATCCTACAGTTCACCTATCTGGAGAAGGCAGTGCAGTGGTTTTGAGCAAATTCGCAGAGTGGATTTATAGGTGCAACCGTTAGCGTAATTAATACAACGTTTTCATCACCCCCCCCCCAGAGAAACCTGTGTGCATTAGCCATCGGTCCTCATTTCCTCCCAATTCCTCCAGCCTTAGGCAGCCAGTAACCTGCTTTCTTTCTCCATGGATATATCTTTTCTGCTATTTTATATAAATGGAATCCTACAACATAGGACTTTTATATCTGCCTTCTTTCACTTAGCATGATGGTTTCTAGGTCCATCCAAATTATAGCACAGGTTAGTACTTGACTGTGTTTATTGCTGAATAATGTTCTATTTATATAGACATACCACATTTCATTTATCCATTCATCAGTTGGTGGGCATTGGGGTTATTTCCTTTTGGGCTGTTACGAATAATGTTGCTTTGAACAGGTGTGTACAAGTTTTTGTGTAGATAGATTTTTATTTCTCATGAGTATATATCTAGGAGTGCAATTTCTTGCTTATACAGTCACTTTGTGCTTAACCTTTTAAGAAACTGCCAGACTGGGACGCCTGGGTGGCTCAGTTGTTGGGCGTCTGCCTTTGGCTCAGGTCATGATCCCAGGGTCCTGGGATCGAGCCCCACATCGGGGTACTTGCTCAGCGGGAAGCCTGCTTCTCCCTCTCCCACTGCTCCCTGCTTGTGTTCTCTCTCTCGCTGTGTCTCCTCTCTCTTGCAAATAAATAAAATCTTTAAAAAAAGAAAAAGAAACTGTCAGACTTTCTTAATGTTCCCACCAGCAAAGTATGAGGGTTCCAGTTCTCCACCTCCTGACCAGCACTTGTTACCCTCGGGATTCTGGTCTTCCTTGTGCTTGTGAAATGCCTTATGATTTGGTTTCCATTTCTCTGATAACTGATTATTGTTGAGCATCTTTTCATCTGCTAATTTACCATTTGAATATCTTTTTTTTCAGAGAAATGTCCATTCAGATCCTTTGGCCATTTTTAAATTGAGTTATTGTCTTATTCTTAGTGAATTGTAAGAGTTCTTTATATATTCTAGTACCGAGTCCCGTATCGGACGTATGAGTTGCACATATAGTCACACATTCTATGAAGTGTCTGTTCACTTTCTTGATGGTGTGTGTCATTTGAAGCACAGAGTTTTAAGTTTTAATGATATTCATTCAATCTACATTTTTCTTTTGTTACCTGTACTTTTGGTGTTACATTTAAGAAACTATCATCACTGGGGCGCCTGGGTGGCTCAGTGGGTTAAGCCTCTGCCTTTGGCCCAGATCATGATCTCAGGGTCCTGGGATCGAGCCCCGCATCGGGCTCTCTGCTCAGCGGGGAGCCTGCTTCCCCCTCTCCCTCTGCCTGCCTCTCTGCCTACTTGTGATCTCTGTCTGTCAAATAAATAAATAAAATCTTTAAAAAAAAAAAAAAGAAAAGAAACCATCACCACATCTAAGTTCATGATTTATGCCTATGTTTTCTTCTAAGAGTTTTATAGTTTTAGCTCTTACACTTAGAACTTTGGTACATTTAAAAAAAATTTTTTTTTAATTCTTTTTATGTAGCTATCTAGTTGTGCCATCACTGTTTTAAAAGGCTATGGGCTCCTGGGTGGCTCATGGGTTATGCGCCTGCCTTCAGCTAAGGTCATGATCCCAAGGTTCTGGGATCGAGTCCCACCTTGGGCTCCTTGCTCAGTGGGGAGCCAGCTTCTCCTTCTCCTCCCTGCTCCTGCTCTCTCTCACTATCTCTGCCTCTGTCTCTGTCTCTCCAATAAATAAATAAAAATCTTTATTTTTAAAAAAGCTATTCTTGCCTCTGTTGAATTGGCGTTCTTGTTGGCATGGGTGCCATGTCTTAGACAAGTTTTTATTTGATCTCCTTTTTCAAATGAGAATCGGTCTTATTTTTTGTCGCTAAACGGTTTATGGACAGGTGGCCGCATTTTACAGAAGTATCTTACTATGTGTGCTTGGAAGAATTGCCTTCAACAGAATAACACAGGTTAGAACATATTAGGGTGAAAAAGCCAGAATATGGACCTCATCCAGGTGGAGCCAGGGCGCTGAATGAGGTACCCCCCAGATGGGGGCTGCTCATACTTCAGTGCGCATCTGAGTTTCCCTGGAGGTCTTGTTAAAACGCAGGTCCTCGTATTCTGGTTCTGGAATGGAGCGTCTGCACTTTTAATGAGCCCCAGAAGATGCTCACGGTGCTGGTCCTGGAACTCACATGCGGAGTAACTGTGCAAGAGGGGCTCTCTGGTGTCCTCTCATTCAGTGTTGTTGTATCTACTTATCTAAAATGATTTGGAAGGGAATTTTTTAATTCCGTTTTTTGTTTTTCGGGTTTTTTTGCACGTTATTGAAGAGCCTTCGAGATGAACAACTACCATGCAGAGAAATAGAATAAATGTTTCTTCTAGTGGTCCTTCTGCCAATCGATTCTCTTCTATCTTCCTTTTAGGCCTCTGATGATTGTCACGCAGAAGATCACGACCTTGGCATTCCAAGTTCATGATGGTGAGAAAAACAACTCTCCTTTTGGTTCCGAGAGTGAGCCCAACATTAGAGCTCTTCGTTTAGACTATACCCCGTAGTCCAGAGTTTAGCAAGGGCTGGCACATCTTCTATAACTTGTCAAAAATTTGCCAGCTTCTCTAATCATGCTCTTTACCTTCCCAGCTATTATTTCGGTAATCTAAATTGGCTGAAGTATTTACACCGAGAACAGCTGGTTTTCTGTTTACCTTTATAATGTTTTAAATTTATGGTGCTCTCTGCCCTTTGTTTCCAAATCCCTTGGGAAGAAACGGCATCGTTTTTCTTTGGTTTAATCTGAGAAGCTCACAAGGTAATAAAGGATAGTATTGGCTGGCTAACTTTTTTTTTTCTTTTTTATTTTCTTTTTTAATGCTAGTTTTGTCTTGGTTAGTGTTTTTGTTTTGTTTGGCTTGGAAAATCATCTAATGAGATTAGCCTGACCCTTCTCCTCCGGAGAAGGAAGAATCTTGTGTTAGTATAAAACTAAACATATCCTTCCTCCTGCCCTTTCTGAAAATGACCAGAAAGTGTGAATTACACGATGAAAACCTGGTTCCAGGGAAGGAGGACGGCACTTTCAGCCCGGGGTGGAGGATTTCAATGTGGGCGTAAGAGGTGTCATGTACAATTAGTAGGAGGATATCTACGGATTTGTACTGCTCCGGCAAATGCTTTCAGACTGTTGAAGCTCCTTTCCGTGTGAACAGGTTGAGATTTATAGTCTCTCTTAGCTAGTCTCATTTTTCTTTAAAGCTGATTTAATTTCATTTTGACTTTGGACATTTCTAATTCATAATTGGCGATTTAGTCATTCTGTAGAGAACTGGGTAAGTTTATACCAAAGACAGAGTCTTTCTAGGGTGACTGACTGTCGTGGTTTGTCCAGGACTGAGCAGTTTCCCAGGGCATGAGACTTTTAGGGCCCAAACTGGGAAAGTCCAAGGCAAACTGGGGTGTGCTGCTAAATGTTTTGTACCTAAAAGTCTAGTTGGTAGTGGTGATAGACTAACATTAGCACATAAACCAATAGCTAAAATCAATTTAAGTTCTAGATTTGCTAGAGATGTATTGTTGATGTCTTAGAAAGAAAGTGTGATTTGTTTTAAACACTGCCTTTTTTTTTTTTTTAAATAGGCTTTTTGCCTGAATTTACTTTTTAAAGCATTCTCAGTTTACCCGATTTTCTGGAAAAACCCTTATGTGCAGCAAGATGTTTATTTGCCATTTCTTTCTTTCTTGTGAGTAGTAGGAACAAACAAATTCCAGAAACCCAGTCTTCCTATATGCATATTTCTGAAATGTCTTTACGATTGGTGACCACCATCGGTCTTAGCTGGATGTACAGCTTTGTAGTCCAATGTTTATAGCTTATTAGATGACACTTCAGTTTCTGCCATTGTAAATTAACATATAAATTTTATGAGAAGTGCAAAGGTGATTTGGGTTTGTTTTTTTTTTTTTTCCTGGCATGGACGAATTTTAAAAGAAGAAGAATCACCTCATAAGTCTTGTACTTTCCCTGCATTCAAGATTGCATTTCCTGTTTTTTTAGAAGAGGAAAGTCCCCTGTTCCTTTCCCCGTTCCAAACCCACGCTTTCAGCTGGTAGCAGGTGTCTGCTGCTGGCATAATCAGGGAGGTCTTTGAGCTGGTGCAGGGTGCAAAGGCAGGTCTCTCTCTTTCTCTCTCTCTCTCCCTCTCCTGTAGCAGGGAAAGTATAATGCACTTTGGTAAGGAGCAGAGGAGATGTGGGGAGTTTTCTGGGATCTATGTCCTACCGTGCAGTTTAAATAGGAGTAAGCCCTGCTTTCTCCCCTCTTCACGAGAACCTGCAGACTTTCCCCCTCACATGTGCGCTTGTGGCTAACTATTCCAGAGCATTAGGAAAAAAAAAATGATTTTATGATTCCTGAAATAAATAAAATGTGACATAAATCACTTTTTTTCCCCCAAATGACTTTTATAAGCCTCTTCTGGAGTTTTCTACTTCAAACATTGTATTGCTACATTTTTCTTTTTTATAGGATTAGGTCGAAGAGCTGAAGACCTCTCTGCTGAGCAACATCGACTTGCTGTAAAGTAAGTGTAACAATATATTCTTGAGCCCTTTGTATATCAGCGTCTAGAAACCCTCCTCATGTTTTAATATGGACTAACTCCACTATGTGGATGTATCATTGCTTGTTAATGAAGCTATTGATGGATACTTGGGGTATCTGCCAATCTTTGGCTTTTCAAACCCTGTTCCTGAGTCATTTTAAATAGGTTTGTGTATAGTGGTGGGATAGAGTCCCAGAAGCGGGATTGCTGGGACAGAAAGTAGACAGGTCTGTAATTTTGTTAGTTTTGCAAGATTCTTCTTCACTGCTGTTGTTAGGTCTATTACAGTTACTTTTATTGGGCATGCGTCTGAGGGTCCTCAAGAAACAGTTATCAGTGCACATCAGTATGATTAAATGCTGCTGTGAAAATGGCTAGGAAGTAGGGCTGGAGTAGGAGACAGGAGGCAGGAAGCAGGAAGCAGGCTGAAGGCAGACTGTGGCTGGTGTGGATGTTGGAGAGGAAGGGAGGCTGTAAGGGAGGAGGATAGCATTGATAGGGAATGGAAATGGCTTGTGGGGTAGCATATCGGGGAAGGATGGGCAGCCACGGTGGAGGGTTCCTATAGGAGAATTCCAGGAGGTAGTCAGGGGTAAGGAAGAGAGTTCCTGAGTGGTACAGAGGTTGAGTGCCTCGTTTTCACATTAAAAGACCGAGACTTGGAAGCCATGGAGACTCACTGCAAGAGACAAATGAATCAGATTCTTTGCTCAGTGTTATGGGGGAGTAAATGTAGGGCACAATTCCAGTGACTGGTAAGCAATTGCATTTGGGGGAAACTTTCCCCACAATACTATCTGGCCCCTTTAAATGCGATTAAAACACCACCTAGAGCTGGTCTCTGTAGAATTTTTCCCTGCTACTACTTGTGCCTGTGGTTGGCGACCTCGTGCCCGGATGCCGGAGCAGACACAAGACTGCTCTAGTGGTAGTTTTGTGTGTCCTCTTCAAATGGAAACTGGTTCCACCCATCATTTGCTTTTGTGTTTATTTTGGCAGTTGGGAGGGAGTTTTCCCGTTTCACAGCATCTGGATCAGCTCACATTAGGTCAGGTTCCCACCCTGCCTCATGTTTATTACCTTCATTCTCTTCTGCTGACAGTTAGGGCTGCTGAGAACGAGCACTTCCCAGCCTCAGAATGACCCCGGACCTCGCCCTCCGTGTCTATAGCCGCCATCGGCCAGTAGAGGGCGCCACGGAGCCCCACGCCTTCTCTGACCCACCCACCGTCTCCTTTCTGCAAGGTCTCTAGCTTAGGGGGGTTTTTAGAGAACCCGGACAAAGAAAGACCATGTGTTGTTTCATCATCTACCAAGAAAATGCCTGTGTTTAGGATTGGCTTTCCTGCGGATCTTAAAGAAAAATCCGAGACTGAAGGCTTTTCAACTTTTTTTTTTTTTTTTAACTTTATTTTCACAGAGTAAAACCCTCTTTCTTGGAATATTTAAGCTACCTTCTCAACTTCATGAGTGTCATAGCTGGCCCTTGCAACAATTTCAAGGATTATATAGCCTTTATTGAAGGGAGACACATACACACGAAGTTGCTGGAGGTGAACTGGAAGCAGAGAGGTTTCCACAGCCTGCCGGAGCCTTCTCCCACTGTAAGTGGCTAGTGCTAATTATTTACCCAGAGCTTCGGTAAAACAGCGCTCTGTTGCCAGTGCTGACTCTCACTAGTAATTGTTCTAATTAAAAAGCCAAACCGTTTACCAGAAAGCTTGGCCAGGAACTGCTCCCCCCCCCCCACCCCCCCCGTTTGCCTCACAGCCGAGCTCATGGGCCTGAAATCTTAAAGCAATCTATCCACTAGGTCAGCTAGCCAATATTTAATGCTTACAGTGTGCTCAGCACTGTGCTAGTTAACACATTTGGATTTATGAGGGTTTTTTTTTTTGTCTTTATGAATAGAAATTCATATCCAGCCAAAGGATAATGTCATGAAAGGGGAATGGGGAGGGAGTGGAAACCAGAATAAATGTGATTTTTTTTTTAAGATTTTATTTATTTATTTGACAGAGAGATCACAAGTAGGCAGAGAGGCAGGTAGAGAGAGAGGAAGGGAAGCAGGCTTCCTGCTGAGCAGAGAGCCCGATGCGGGGCTCGATCCCAGGACTCTGAGATCATGACCTGGGCCGAAGGCAGAGGCTTAACCCACTGAGCCACCCAGGCGCCCCTGATTTTTTTTTTTTTTTTTTTTTTTAATTGCAGAGCCTGCTTCTTATGTGGGAAACCAGTTTTATGTTGGCATGCTCTTAAAGACTGGTTTTACTGACTTCGAGAGTTTAACATGGTTTTTGGGAAATTTTTAAAATTTTAACCTGAATTTTATTGATTTCAAATTAGTTAACATAAGGATAATGTGTTGAACGTCACAAATACGCTAAATTTATTCAGATCCAATATCCTATATTTAAGGGAAGTTTGTAATTAGTTGAAGGAAGAGGGAAAATTGGAAAAAGGAGAGTCAGGATAATTGAGTTAAATATTTTGTAACTGTTAAGATCTAGGCAAAATTACTATTTGAAAATTTAAGTGACTTACTAAGCGTGAATTTTCAGATGGTTTTGACACAGTCGGGTCTCCCACAGTGTATAGGTTGTCAACGGTCTCAGCTCTTGCTGTGTTACTGAAAGTGTGGGAGTGAGGTCACCATGGCCATGGGGCATCGAAGTACTCACGGGTGTTTCTTGTCAGAATCTACCATGGTAGTGCTCTCGTCTTCCTGAGAGTATGATCACAGAGTCTTAATATCACTTCTCGGGGAGACTCTTGGCATTTTCTTGCACAGAGAGAGGGACGTGGTCAGGTGGTGTTTTAGGTAAAGACACATTAGTGGGAGGTGCCTGGTGCTCCCAGGCTGGTACCTCCCTAGTGTCTTGTCAGCAATCACGGCCAACCAAGCATGGTGAGCACTCGACTGGGAGCCCGATGCTGTTCTTGGTACCTTGCAAATACTGATTCACCTGAACCTCAAGCTGCTCTCAGGAGGTGCTATTGCTCTCCCCGTATTACAAGAAAATGTGGCCTTAAAAAAAAAACACATTTATTTATCTGAGAGAGTAAAGGAGAGACTGCAAACATGATGGGGGGGAGGGGCGGAGAGGGAGGGAGAGAATCTTAAGCCAACTTGGCGCTAGGCACAGATCCTGACCCTCGGCTTGATCTCATGATGCAGGAGATCACGACCTGACCCAACATCAAGGGTTGGGTGCTTAACTGACTGAGCCACTTAGGCGCCCCAGAAAGTGTCCTGTTTTTATAAAGTTGGGAACTATAGTTCTATTGTTGTTAAATGACATTCCCTGGAATGTTGGGGAAACTGGGCAAAATCACTTGGTCCAGAGGCATTTAAAATGCCAGCACATCTTAATACTAGAGCAGACTACATGTAAACCATCCTGAAGGCTTTCTGAAGCTTTCCATCACCTGCTCATGTCCCGGCTCAGGCACGGGAACTTGTATGGAATCCTTCTGAGCTAAGCCTCTGTCCTCCTTGTGGTGATTCAGACCCATGTCCTTGACTCTGCTGGCGACAGAAGTGGAAGCCAAATGGTTATTTCTTTCCGATGGAAGATTGCCTGTAATGCTCTCTCTCTTATGTTTTGGGTAATTAAACTACCTTCCTTTTTGGGCCACCTGGGTGGCTCAGTCAGTTAAGCATCTGCCTCCAGCTCAGCTCATGATCCCAGGGTCCTGGGATCGAGCCCCATGTTGGGCTCCCTGCTGAGTGGGGAGTCTGCTTCTCTCCCTCTGCCCCTTTCCCTCCTACCACTCATGCTCTCTGTCTCTCAAATAAATAAATCTTAAACACACACACACACACACACACACACACACACACACACACACACAAAAAGCCTACCTTCCTCTTGTTGGTAGAATGTGCTGGTAATAGTTTCCTTCAATTTTAGATACATTCAGACCTCAAGTGTCAAAGGTATAGACTTCATTGGCATTTAGCTCCTATGCTCAGGACCCAGTCTGTGTCCTAAGAATGCCTGTTGCCACTCCTCGTAAGGAATATTACCAAAGCAGCTATTGGAACAGCTTGTCCCTAACGTGCCCTTGCTGAAATTGTTTTCCTCATGCCGGAGTCTTGCCTGGTTACACTGATTTTTTTCCACATTTTCAGAGAGCTGTGATACACAAGTTGTGCCTGACCTTGGTGTCTCTCCTCCTGTTTTTGACGCTCACGAAGTCCTTCCCCATCACCTGCCTGACCGATGACTGGTTTGTTCATAAAGCAAACTTTCTGACTCGACTGTGCTACTTATATATTGTCATGCAAGCTTCGAAGCCCAAGTATTACTTTGCCTGGACATTAGGTACGTCTGATGGAACGGCCCCGAGTGAATGAGGGAAAAGTGAGACTCCTGGGAGGGCCTACCCAGAACAGCATTTTGGATCACTTAATCAAAAAAAGTTCAGTGCATGATGGAGGCAGCTCAGCCAGTATCGTTTTATACTTTCCACCAAAGCACTCCGGTGTCCCGCCATCCATAAACTCAATTACCTATGATAAGAGCAGAGCCGTCCTGGCGGTCACTTCAACTCAGTGTTATTAGCAGATGTCCAAACTTGGAAGCGCCCTCCACCAATCAAAGCTTCCCAGTCGTATAGTGGAAAGTTAGAAGGGAAAATTCCAGAATGATCTGGCCGTTTTGTCATCTTTCTGGGTTGTGCATAATAGAGGGGTCATGCTTTAAACTTACTAACACACGAAATGACTTAGGTCACATTTTCTTTTTAAGAACTTGGTTAAAAAAAAATTGTTGGTCCAGCTTTATGCCTTAGAAACTGACTTCAGGTGACTTCTTTTTTTTTTTAAGGTAGAAAGTTCGACTTTGATTTGCTTTTCTCTCTTTCCTTACAAACAATTTTAAACTGGAAAAGTTGAAAGCTTTGCTGGAGTGAGCAGTAAGTCCTCCTATTTACTTGCCAGGAATGGTGAAGGATTGTGATAAGGCACGGCAGTTCAGGAATGGAAATTTAAGTTCTTAGCTGACGGTGACCTGGGGCTTGATGTCAGGGAGCCCTGATTTGGTTTATTAAGTCAAACAGATGATTAAATTCTGTGCCTAGTGCTCAGCCCATGCTCCCTGAGTGAAGGCGTGGCACTTAATTGAGTTCCTTTTGTCTCATTGTCATGCTCCAAGTTTTTATCCCCAAATTAAAGCTGGTAGCTACCAAATTATTTTTAATTTTTTATTGCGATACGCTAGAACACAGGATTTATTTGAGTCCTCTCTAGTCTACAACTTGGTGGCATGAAGCTCATTCACAGTGTTGTGAGACTGTCACCACCGTCCATCTCTAGAACGGAATTTCCCATCACCCCAAATAGGAATGCTGTGCCTATTTAAAAAAAAAAAAAAAAAAGATAACTCCTCATTCCTCTCTCTTGCCAAGTCCTGGGCTAAATGATTTTTAAAGGTCGAAATGTTCAGGGAGAAGTTCAGTCTAGTGGGGTGTTTTGGGGACACTTGGCCAGAAAGATGGAACTGAGGGCTTTTAAAACATGTGCAGCGTGGGAAGTTTTGTTTGTCCCCTTTGGTTCAGTTCAGGGGGTTTTTTGTCATGTACCGGGTTCTGTGGCGGGGGAATGCGAAGGTAAGCGCTCTTGTCTGTCATCAGATTGTTAACGGTCTGCGGGCCCAGAGACAGGCGTACTGACCAGGCGGTAACGTAGGGAGCTGTCCCCAGGCCAGCAATCTGGGTGGGGTGGATGATGAATATAGACTGTTTTGGAATAAGGCTTCAAAAGCCTATTCTTCTTTGTGCACCTGCTTTATGACTTAAGAATGGTAATTTCTTCTGTAGGTAAGCACAATACTTACTATGGTTGGAACCCTGCTTGGAGCACCAAGGCTTAGTTTCCTGAAATACTTAATATTTCCACTTTGCTCTAAACCGAGTGTGTGTGGTTGTGAATGAGAGAGAGAGAGAGAGAGAGAGAGGAAGAGATAACAGCTCACTCTCCTTGCTACCTCTTACGTCTTCACTTACCCTTCCTTTTCTCTCCCCCTCCCTACCTTTCCCATTCCCATATTCTGTATCCTAGGGCTTAAGGGCTGGCTTCTGGACTAAATCAGCTCCTGCTTTAGGAGGAAGGCAAGGCCCTGTGTGGCTTCCTAGGGAAAGTCTAACGCGAGGTGGGTTGTGCTGGTGGGGATGGGGAGGGGGAGGGGGTTCTAGGCAACGGGGGCATCTGGAATTGTTCTGGCTTTTTGGGAGTGCCCCAGATTCTGGGAGTATCCTTTTCTGTGGGGAGTTTTCTCCATGGGCTTTGCTCTTTTCTATACCCCCTTCCCTTTATCTTTTTTTTGGGGGGGGAGGGTAGCCTCAGGAGAAATACTTAATGAATTTGTGTGGCCTCAGTTCAAACTTTGTTATGGTTTAGCTTGCATGGGCCGGTCTGAAATGAACCTTTGTATTATTTATGAATAAGGAAGCAATGACTAGCCTAACAGGGACTATTTAAACCGCTTAAGCAAATAATTGTTTTATCCAGCTCCTTAAAACATCATTTGCATATAATTGATGCACTCATTATACGTGATTATGAATTTAATCCTTAAAGCTGGCCCCTTCTTGAATCTCGGCTGAGCTGCACCGTGTTAGCCTCGTTCTCGTTACTGTTTATATTGAAATAATGAAGGCAATTTTCTTTGGGCTTAGTGTACAATTCTGGTTGTTTTTCCCTAATTAGTACTAATTAGTGAGACTCAACTTCAGCCCAGGCTGTGTTCCAAGGAAGGATCGCAGCCTCCACAGTACGGGCGTCCAAGTTAATTTATCTGTAATGATACAGTAGACAATACAAGTAAAGCCAGTTTGGGGCTGGTGAACTTAGAACCTCTAACCGCTCAGAGACAAGCGTCTTGGATAAACGGTGGTGGAGTGCATGACTCCGAGCAAACACATTTCCCAGCCCCTCCATGCGGCCTCTGAGAACCACTATTCTGGTCTTCCTTTTGTCTTTCGGAGCGACTCCTAGCCCCTAAGGGGGCAGGATCAGAATCCTTTCTAGCATTGGGAGCCTGGCACTGTTTACCACCTGAGTGATCCGAATGGTGGCCTCACTGAGCCTTGGCAGGATGGGTCGGGGGGAGCAACAGTGAACGTTTCTGGAGGGCTGACTTGGGCTCTGCGCTCCGAGCCCCCTTCATTACTTCTTTAACTCTTGCAATGCGGCTTTAAGACAGGTACCACTCTAACATCCATTTTCTTCCCAAGGGAATGGGTTTCTAGAGGACAGATGGCTCTCTTGAGGCCAAATGTTCGTTCTGTGAAGACACAGAAGCCAGGGGCTCTGCCCCTAGAGCCCACCTCTCAGCCAGCATCTTCTCACCCCTGGGAGCGCTGAATGAGGCTGGCTGCTGAGTGTTTTGTAAAGTCCTTGGAAAGGTTGTAGTCCCCCAAAAGAGAGGTGGTGGTTCCAGGTGTTGGGCGAGGCTGGAGGCAGGAGGAGGACTTGAAGGGCTGCTGGTCCCGTACCGTCCGGCCAGCCCTGGTTTTTGGCTCCAACACAGACCCCAAAGGGGCTCCTCTTCTCCTGGTTCAGCTCATCTCGTCACTCTCCGTTTCTAACCACACATTTAAAACTTCGTTCCTCAACGGGCACAGCCCTGCTTCGTTGTTCTTTTCCTTTTCCACTGGGTTCCATCCAGGCGGCTTGGGAGAATGACCTAGTGGTTCTCAGGACTGCTCATCCTTCCTTCTGAAGGAAACCAGATGATTTCCAAGCCAGGCATAAGATAAGCAGTGTGCAGTCACCAACTGTGCCCAAAGAAAAGGAGACAAACATAGAACACATTGTTTTTCTTTAGAATAACTCTTCAGAATTCACTGGAGCTGGACTTGAACTTCATTTGGAAAGAATGAATAGAGCCTCAAGAAAGAGTTCTCTGAGATCTCCCCAGATCTAAGACCTTACAGTGCTGTGATTTAGCTTATTTTTTATTTTAATTCCAGTGTAGTTAGCATAGAGTGTTATTAGTTTAGGTATGCAATATAGTAATTCATCACTTCCGTGTGTCACCTGGCACTCATGATGACAAGGGCATGCCTTAATCCCCATCCCTTGTTTCTCCCATCTCCCCACCCCATCTGCCTTCTGGGAACCATCAGTTTGTTTTCTGTAGCTCAGAGTTTGTTTCTTGGTTTGTCTCTCTTTTCCTATGTTTGTCTTGTTTCTTGAATTCCACATAGGATTAAGATCAATGGTATTTGTCTTTCTGATTTATTTCACTTAGGATTATAATCCTCGAGACCCATCCATGTTATTGCAAATGGCAAGATTTCATTGTTCTTATGGCTGAGTAATATTCCTCTGTGTGTGTGTGTGTGTGTGTATCTTCTTTATCCACTCATCCATCGATGGACACTTGGGCTGATTCCATAGTTAGGCTATTGTAAATAATGCTGCTGTAAACATAGGGGGGCATGTAGCTCTTAGTATTTTTGTATTTTGGGGGCAAATACCCAATAGTGTGATTACTGGATCATAGGGTAGCTCTATTTTTATTTTTTGAGGAACCTCCATACTGTTTTCCACGGAGATTGCACCAGTTTGTATTCCCACCAACAGTTCGAGAAGCTTCCTTTTTCTGCGCACCCTTGCCAACACTTGTTGCTGCTTGTATTTTTTTAGCCATCCTGACAGGTTGAGGTGACATTTCATTGCTGTTTTGATTTGCAGTTTCCTGATGCTGAGGGATGTTGAGCATCTTTTCATGTGTCTGTTGGCCATCTGGATGTCCTTTTAGGAGAAATGCCTGCTCACATCTTCTGCCCATTTTTTAATGAGATTACTTGGTTTTTGGGGGTGTTGAAGTTTATTTTTTAAATAAAATATTCTAACAATTAACAAACTAAGTGAAAAGAGACAATTAACCTTTTGGTCTTCATAATAAAAGTATGTTGATTTCATCAGATCTCTATTTGATTACAACATTGCATAATTAAGGAATTAGAAACATTATTCTCATGGCAGGGGGACATTTTCTTACAGTTCTGTGAAGTGGAATAAAGATGGAAACGGGAGCTTTCTCAAACTGAGTGTGGGTAGGATGCTTTGGTAATTGGGTCCATGTGTGGTCTCCATGGTGGCCGGCCCTGAATTCACATCTCTAGCTCTGCTCTTTGTCTTGTGCTCTAAGCTTTTCTAACTGTATCTTGGCAGCCCCGGCTAATACCTACTGGCATGTCATGCTTAATACGTCCAGAATGAGCTCCAATTTCACTTTCAGAGCTGGTTCTCCTCCGGACTTAATGCTGTGCCATTCATTTGATGCCATCTTTAATGACAGCTCTTGGACCTGTCCAAGTCCCCTCAGTTCCCTTTTTCTTTTGGCCTCTGCTTCTGAGCTTAGACATCTCCCCTTACATCAAGTGGGTCACTAACTCCCGTTGCTTTGTTCTGATTCATTTTTATTTTATTTTCATTTTGCGTTGTAGGAGGATCTCTTGCCTTCTTAATAAGCAGGCGCACACTAAATGCTAGTGAATGAATATAAATGAATGAATAAAAATTAAGGCCACCAAAGAGCGCAAAAGGTTTCTGGGATTTATAATGGTACCAGGTCCTTTCAATTGTTTTCGTTTCTTTTCCAAGGAGAAACTACTGCCTATCTCTCAATCTGAAAGCTAGACAGACATTTAATATCTCTTAAAGCAGCAATGTGACTTTTGTTCCATATCTTAATGTGTTGTTTTAAAAACTACAGCCGATGCAGTGAATAACGCAGCTGGCTTTGGGTTCAGCGGAGTGGATAAGGATGGGAATTTCTGTTGGGATCTGCTTTCTAACCTAAACATCTGGAAAATCGAGGTGAGTCTATTACACTTTTGAATTAAGCTCCCATGGGGAATAAAGCAAATGGTTTGCTTTCAGTGGTATCCCTGTGAGCTCTTCCTCAGAGTGTCCAAGGGAAAACGATCGGGGCATTCCAGGTCCAGCAGGCTCCTAGACGTTCTGCGTCTTAGAATTTTTTCCCATCTTTTTACAGATACCCACTTTCTTGACAGTTGTAAAGGTTCAAAGCATGACATGCGGAAATCTGTAAAAGAGCCAGGAAAAGCTTTCTGTGGTTTACATTCCTGTTCTCTCAACTAGAAAGTACAAATGTCATTTTCTCTTGTTTTGCGGTCTTTCTTCAGTCAGGAGTACGGATGGGAAGCTCCTGTATTTAGATTTTGAATATTACAAACATTCTCTGTGGTCCCTTTTAAAACATTTCTAATCCAACTGCTTTTAAGAAGAACAGCCATGGCACATAGCTTTTAGGCCACTGGAATCCATGTGGTTTTTATCTTTCGTTGGCTTTGTTCTTGGACCACACCTCTGAAGATGAGGACATCTTCAGAGGTGGGCTTTTTGGGCACATCATTCTTGGTTTTCCTGGCATTGTGAGCAGAATGGAAGGCTCCGTCTTTGACCCGTTCCTCCTTGCTGCTGGGTGGGAGTAAGGACAAGGTTCTCAACTTACAGAAGGACTGATTCTCTAGCCAGGTGACTCAGATGTGCTGTTGGTCGTGGTTTTCCCCCACCACAGGGCAGGCGGGTTGCCACTGGGGAGTGAGCAGGAGGGGAATGTACATTTAGAGCAAGAAACCAGGAATGTGGAGACTGACCACCTGCTTCCCGCTAGATGGACGCTTGGCCAGAAGGAGACATGGCAGATGTTCTCCCCCTTCTTGATGCCTGACTTGTTTCTTCATCTTAACTGGCTTAAACCAAGTTGCAGTCTCCGGAACCATTTCTCATTTTTGGAAAAGCAGTGTAGATAATCTGCAAGGTTCTCCTTTCTATACAGATGACGATCCGAGGCAGTCCAAATGTGTTATGACTTCGCTCCCTTTTCCCACTGAAACTTTCTCTTCCTCAAAAGTCTTGGATCACTGCTGGCTGCCTCGGAGCGCTGTGGATACTTGTACTTTCCAGAGGCTCCCTTTTGCCTTTGGCTGCCCACCAGTACACCAAGACACAGTCCTTTCACTGTGGGATATGGTCTGGGCAAAGGGCTAAGCTATGAAGTTATATCCTTATTACTAAGGAAAACTAGATGGGGAGTTTGCATATTTGGTAAAGGTCATAGCAAAGAGCTAAGAAAAACCAAGGAAATCTGATTTAGCTAAGGTACATTGAAGCTGTGCATATAACATTAGCCAGCAGACATAAATAACACCCTCTGGCTTTTGAAATAAAAAGTCATAATACAATATCTAGCCTCTATCTAGCTCCATCCATCCATCCATCCATCCATCCATCCATCCATCCATCATCATCTCCTCTCTCCTCCTCTCCAAACATACTGTGTTAGGCCAGTCAGTGTGTGGGCTAGGATTTTCTTATGGTTGAAATAGAAAAAAGTGGCACTTCCACCTTTATTAGAAATTCCAGTTCTTGAATGTTTGCTTTATGCTTTCTAATACCAGCCTTTGATAAGACCTTTTTTAAAGAAAAATTTTAATTAATTAACATTTATTTAATGAGAAAAACCACTTGATGGCTTATTTTAGAATCTCTCTTCTTTGGTACCTGTATCATTGCCAGTTGGGTGATGTTTTCTTTTTGTTTTGTACTGAGTCCCCTTCATGCATGAAATCGCTCACTATTCTAATATTCTAAATATTAGAATTCTAATTGTTGTATTCTAAATACAACTGGAAACATTTGAACCTGAGTGGCTATTTGTAGAATAAGTTCACAAGATAGACCTTAGTTTATAGACGGCTACATAGCGAATGATGACAATTTCAGGCTGTCTCCAGAAAGGCCCTAAATTGACACAATCAAACTTTTCCTGCGGTGAAACCTCTTTGAGACTGTTTAGTTTTAAAACTCAGATGACTTAAAAAAAAAATTTTTTTTTAAACCAGAGTGGAAGAAGAACCTACACGGCATTCCTGCCGTCTTCCTATAACTTGAAAATAAATTTTGAGGGAAATGAAGACTTTGCAAGCCAAGTTCTGGTGCAAAGTCAATCTTACAAATACCGGAAAATTTTACTGTGTAGGATGGAACAGCTGATTTACTCTTGACGGAGGAGTCTCCGTTGAAATAGCACATCTCTGGCTGCCAGGGAAATTCTGGGGATGACTTTCCATTCCTTGGGGTATTTTTAAAGCTAATGATAGGTGTTATTTTCTTCTTTCTAGACCGCCACAAGTTTCAAAATGTACTTAGAAAACTGGAATATTCAGACAGCGACTTGGCTAAAACGGTAAGGAAAATACAAATGACCTCATCCCTCATGGCACTGCGATAGGTTTAGATGGAAGTCACCAGATGACCGGCTGCTCTGCCAGCCATGATGCGGTCACCCAACACTTTTGTTGTGTATGAACGTCTATGCCCTGGAAGTGGAAAAGTAGGAAAGGGGTGATGTAAGGCGGTCACAGTGCAGTGTATTTATTTTACCGAATCTCTTCATAGTGCTGTTCCTGGGTATCAGCCACTCACTTCCTATTCATAGCAATCCCACGAGAGGTTGATAGTCAGCCCCACTTTACAGATGAGGAAAATGAAACACAGAGAGGTTAGGTCACTTGCCCAGAGTCGCATAGACGATGACGACTAGAGAAGAGCCCCAACAGACCGTCTCCAGGGCCGGGCTCTTAAACCTCTGTGTTGTGCCCCCTCTTACCTAGAGGGGGGAACATTGCTCAGACGTCAAGCAGGGTCAATGTCAGCAGCAAATCACTGATGATCTCCATTTACACCGAGCATTAGAGGCTTTGTGGTACCCCAGACAGTTATGCTTTTTCACTTTGTGTTTTTTGTTCATGTTTCTGTCCTTTTGTTTCTCTACACATTCCAAAATTGGAAACCTCACTTAATATAGAACTAGTAATATGCTATCCTCGAAGCAGCAAACTCTAGCTCCTGTGTATTCCTATCTTATGAGTGCAGGGAGAGTATGAAACTATCAGGCTGGAGATCCTGTTTTTTGATCCATAGCGTTTTTCACAGGTCACAACGTGGGGGTAAGACAAGGTATAGTAACAACTCCAAAGTGAGCTCATGGTCTGTCATCTGAAGGTTGATCTGGACATGCGATTTTGGGAAATTTGCACCTATTATTGCTATTAATTTTGTCAATACTTTTTTATTTTTAAAGCTTTTATTTGACAGAGAGCAAAAGAGCACAAGCAGGAGGAGTAACAGAGAGGGAGGGGGAGAGAAGCAGGTTCTTGCTGAGCAGGGAGCCCACTGCAGGACTTGATCCCAGGACCCTGGGATCATGACCTGAGCTGGAGGCAGATGTTTAACTGACTGAGCTACCCAGGAGCCCTGTATTTTGACAATAATTTTAGCCTAAAACTCTATTTCTGTATATTAGGTAATCCAGTGTACCAAGGATAGGTTTAGATGGAAGTCACCATCTCCATTAGGAGTTTATGTTCTAAGATGACTGAACATACATGAGCACATAATAAATGAATAAACTATTAAAAAATCATTTTAGAAAATGAAATATCTTATTTGTACTAACAATAAAGAGTGTAAGAAACAAATACCTGGGCAAACTACCCCGTTTTAAAGAAACATTGCAAGGGGCATCCCAGTCCTGTGTTTCTCCCCCCAGATGCATTCTCTTTCTTTGTATGAAAAGGGAGCCATAATCTCCAGTCTGAGTTCAGATCGGTTACTTTTGACAACCCATACAGAGCTGCATTGGTGTTTACTATTTGAATTCCTATTTTATTTTGTATTTGGGTCCTCTTGTTTACTAAACCACATATTGCCATTGGCGATTTGTAGATTGAATTTAATAAACAACCAAGGGTCAAAGATCTTCATGTTATCTGCAGACAACTTCCAAACCCTCACAGTATCACTTTTTAAAGCAAATTCATGGATTGAAATCCTGTGGACACTGTAAGATCTGAAAAGTCATGTAGCTAACACACTGATTTTGTGCTAGAGTCATTGCCAAGAGAGAGGAAAACGTTTGCTGTGTTGGCTAGTTTGGTGGCAAAGGGGTCATGTTGGAAAGATGAATTAATTTTGATTAGATGAGGATATCTGCTTCTAAAGATGCTATCTGGATAAAAATTTTTAGTGCCAGTGGCACTTAACCATAAGTATTCCTGATAGATTAGGGTATTGGTGGAATAAGGTTCTATAAGGCATAGAGTGACCACTTGGACTTTTTTAGATATAATTGGATTTAAATAATTAAATATTATTAGATAGATTTATATAATTTATTCGATATAGTATGATGATGTCTAGATCATTTAGTTCCATGCAGATCAAAGGTTGAAACTTCATATTCCTTTCCCCAAATGATTGGACTTTAATGGCCTGTCTGGTAGCATTCATAGCATTCAGGACATGGAGTTCAGGCTGCTGGGATTGTATTGGAAGTCCCTGACAGGCAATTGATCAAATGATTTTTGGATGGTCTGAAGACGCAAGCATAGGTAGACGCTTCTGGTCTGACCCGTAACTCGTGCCCTCCTCTCTCCATAGAGTATGCTATGAACGGGTTCCTTGGTACCCCACGGTGCTAACCTTCATCTTGTCTGCCCTGTGGCATGGTGTCTATCCTGGATACTATTTTACCTTCTTAACTGGAATTCTCGTCACAGTAGCAGCTAGAACGGTAAGCTTCTTTTGGTTGTAGGAGCTTTTCCTTAATCATCTGATGCCTCTATTCACCATTAGAGAAATACTTTGATATATAGAAATTGTGGGCCATAAAATGAACTATTTACATGTTATTTATAGATGGTGTTTGCAAAACAAAAGGAATTTTAGGGGTAATGAATGTGTAATACCTTAAAAAGATGAAAACTTTTTTAAAAAGAGAGCATGTGAGCGCGTGAGTGGGGGTGGGGGGGTAGAGGGAGAAGGACAAGCAGACTCTGTGCTAAGCATGGAGCCTAACTTGGGGCTTGATCCCACAACCCTGAGATCATGACCTGAGCCGAAACCAAGAGTTGGATGTTCAGCTGACTGACCCACCCAGGGACCGATCTCTTTAGAGGCTGAGAATATTTTTAATCATTAAACAGAAAAGTCTGCCGATTACAGGTGAAGATTAGTAATTGGGGTTCTATAGGCTTCATTTTTCTTATAGTCCTCTTAATTTCTTAGTTCATTAGCCTAAGTTTAGAAATAATTCACAGTCTGTGCAGACGGTAAACTTGTAATCATTGGAACTGTGTTGTCAGAGATTGCTCTAACTTTTCATGCTCTCAGGCCTGAGAGGCCAGTAAATGTGTGTAAAATTCTTTGTGAATTTTATAAATTTGGTTCTCTAGGTTTTTGAGGTAGCCTTCAGTTTGTCCTAGAGTGTTCCTATCATCTGCTGGGTATAGAGTAGGATGATAAAGACATAAAAGATATGCCTACCCTTAAAGAACGAGATGAGCATGAATGTAAGAAATTGTAGCTCAGCCCATTCTGATTGTCCAATAGGGTTTTGTATTTGATTTAGTCACAATTTGAAAATGATCATGGCTTTCCTTATTCAGATGCCAGGAATTTTTAATGACATTTTCAAACTCTATTTTGGGGGTGAATTTAGGAGCTCCAACAGAGCTATTCACTCATTCTTTAATTCATGTATTCTATGACTATTTCTGGAGCCCGCCTATGTGCCAGTTTAGGTTCTAGGCACTGTGATACCCCAGTGAACAAGAATCCCTTCCCAGCGGAATTCTTGTTTTAGTTAGGTGAACGTTTGCTGGAATATATGTGTGAACAAGAATGATAACTGTTTACAACTTATGCTGATCAGTGTACTTTTCGAATAAAGTATGTATTGTACATGGGAAACAGAACACATTTTCTCTTCTGCCATTCATCTACCTACTTAGATTATAAAAGTAAAGAACAGATGGCTGGGACACACTAAAACAAGGACGAGAATTTTAATATATCCAGAGTATTATTCCTGAAGATGTCTTTAGCTCTGTGATCTCAGCTGGTATAAAAGCATTGATTTATATCAAGCCTTTCTTTTGGATGGCCTGGAAATATTTTTTGCAAATGAGTTAGGTAGAGGGTAGAGAGGGTTGATAGAACAGGCTTCCCAGGAGAACGAACTCAGTAATAAAATGTCTTACAGGCTTTCTGATACCACTCATGCATTCCCACTGGAGGGAGCCTCTGGCTCTCTCTTGAACTTGGGGCCAAGAAGTTTTTAACCTACCTCAGAGCATGCCATTGTTTTAGCTGTGCCTTTGATTCTTGGATCTGGGAATTAGGTTTCTTTCTGGAGGCCCATCTAGTCCCATATGTCAAAAGACCTACAAATTAATTATGGGAAAGCGAAATTTTCCATAATTAAAATTGTATCAGATTAATGTTTGCTGACATGGAATAAGATTTTTGATGCATTACTAAGTGGAAAAAAAAAAAGGCTAGAAAATCCATGCCATCAGTGAAAATACAAATATGGGTATGTATGAGTAGAGAAAGGCTTGGAAGGTTATGTGCCAAGTTTATAAACTGCTTTTTCTGAGGAGAGGTCCAAAAAATAAATTTTTTGGCTTAGTTCTTTGGACATAAGTATTTTTATAATAATAATAAAAACCATAATGGTACTTTGGATCACCTGTATTCCTGAAGTATACGGCCTACGTGCACAAAATAAAAGTTTTTATTTTTCATACCCACCCCCCACCCCCGGTTTTGCCTTCCTTGACTTGCAGGTGAGGAACAATTTCCACCATTACTTCCGTTCCTCAAAAGCCCTCCAGGGCGCATATGATGTGGTCACCTGGGCGGTCACTCAGCTGGCAGTCTCTTACACCGTCGCACCCTTCGTCATGTTGGCTGTGGAGCCAACCATCAGCTTATACAAGTGAGTTTCCATTGTTCTCGGGGGCTGTGTTTGACTTGGGGGTTGGTGAACTGGATCCCTCCGTGTTAAGAGCTTCTAAATCCAGCTTCGACGTGAAAATGTCCATAGACAGCTTCGAGAGGAGTTGCTTATCTGAGGGATCCCAGCAGACACCCAGCAGTACCCCTGAGCGAAGCTGGTGGTGGGCAACCCTATGGATATTCCTGACATAATGAAGGGACGCTAGGACCATGAATTTTGAAGGGCTACGTCTGGATTATAAGCTCAAGAGGGTGAATGTGCTTTCCTTGCTGCTTCTTCCCAGGGTCAGGCTATGTTGGAGTGTCAGGGGGCATCCTGAGCGCAGGACAGAGGCAGGTAGCAGCTGGTGTTCACATGAGGAATTTATGGTGTGAGCTGGGGGTGGGGGGTGGAGGGGAAGAGACAGACCAGACCGGAGATGCCAGGCCTTTACAGTCAACCCCCAGGGGTCCTGAGGAACTCTCAACCTATTCTCTCGCTTGCTTTTGCCATTTCACTGAGGTTGATAGAGTGTGTTTCTACTATTGCCAAGTGGTTGTGTGACCTGGGGCAAGTGATGACGCTCTTACCTGGCTTTTCTCACCTACAAGTGAGGTTAAGAGTAGACTCAGTCACAAAGTGCCCTTTTAGGATTGAAATGAGGGAAACGTGCAAAGGGCTCAGCCTAGTCCCTGGCGTACGGTCTGTACTCGGTGGGCACGGACTTGTGTGCACTGACTGAGAGCTTGCCCCGGCCTTTGTAGGTTACTCTGAAGTCCTTGCTCTGCTTTAAAACCGAACAACACAAACAGGCCCTACTCCTCAGTGGGGGTGTTTCCTCGTATTGTCCCACGGGTCAGAAACGATCAGAGCGGCGTTTCCTACTCAATACACAGATAGCAAGGTCTAGAAGTAGAGAGATTGTTTCTCCCCCCACCAGGTTATAGGAAAAGAAGGTGGAGGGAAGTATGTATTTCTAGGGAAGTCTGTTTCCGTACCACCACGTAGCTCGTAGGAGTTATGTCAGTATGACGTGGAAGCTGAGCTGGTTTATGCACAGATGTTTCTAGACAGGGGATGCCAGAATAGCCGGAAGAATTCTAGTCTCCAGCAACGGGAGCTCAGAGTGTAGCTGCTACAGAGGGAGGAGCACGAACCCTTTGAGCTCTGGAGTAAGAACATTGAAATTGAGCTCCCTCTTCGGAGAGAAATCCCCCCTGTAAATACCCCCCGCTTCACTGAGCTCCCTCTGCTGAGAGATAGCCCCCCTGTCACTATCTGAGAGATATCCCCCCTCTCCATACCCTCTTTTCACGGAGCTCCCTCTTCTGATGATATCTCCCATCAGTACCTCCCTTCACTGAGCTCCCTCTTCTGAGAGATATGACCCATACAACTCTCAGAGAGCTATCCTATCTGAACCCCCCCCATTCACCGAGCTCCCTTTCCTGATATCCCCCGTAAGTAACCCCCTTCACTGAGCTCCCTCTTCTGAGGGATGTCCCCCCTCTCCATACCCTCCCTTCACTATATCATATTTCTTACATATAAGAAATTCTTATATATAAGAATTTATAATTTATATATGTAAGAACTATAGACTTTACAGATATATTAGATAGCCCCCCATACCCTCCCTTGTCACTCCTCAACCTTAACTGAGCTGTTTGTTTTTTTTTTAAAGATTTTATTTGTTTATTTGACAGAGATCACAAGTAGGCAGAGAGAGAGGAGGAAGCAGGCTCCCCACTGAGCAGAGAGCCCGATGCAGGGCTCCATCCCAGGACTCTGGGATCATGACCTGAGCTGAAGGCAGAGGCTTTAACCACTGAGCCACCCAGGTGCCCCTGAGCTGCCTCTTCTAAGAGCTATCCCCCCTCTTCCTAACCTCCCTCTTCTAGAGATATCCCCACTGTCAGTACCCCTCTTCTGAGAGATTCACTGAGATCCCTCTTCTGAGAGATTTTCCTTTTGTCACTACCTTCCCCTTCACTGAGCTCCCTAAGAGATAGCCCCCCTCTCCCTACTCTTCCTTCACTGAGCTGCTGCTTCTGAGAGATATCCCCTTGTTACTACCCCCTTCACGAGCTCCCTCTTCTGAGAGATATGTCCCCTGTCACTACTCCCCTTTCACTAAGCACCATCTTCTCAGAGATATCCCCCTGTCAATACCCCCCGATTCACTGAGCTCCCTCTTCAGAGATAACCCCCTCAGTATTTCCCTTCACTGAGCTTCCTCTACTGAGTGATTTCCCCTTTGTCACTACACTCCCTTTCACTGGGCTCCCTCTTCTGAGAGATATCCCCCTTCACTGAGCTCCCTCTAAGAGAGAGATCCCCCATCTAAATACCAACCCTCACTGAACTCCCTCATCTGAAAGTGATCCTCCTGTCACTACCCCGCCTTCACTGAGTTCCCTCTTCTGAGAGGTATCCCCCTGTCACTAACCCCCTTCACCAAGCTCCCTCTTCTGAGAGATATCCTCCCTGTTAGTAACCTCCCTTCACGGAGCTCTCTCTTCTGAAATACACTTCCTTATCAGTACCCCCTCTTTACTGAGCTCCCTCTTCTGAGTGATATCCCCCCGCTCCATACCTTCCCTTCACTATATCAGATATTTCTTATATATTTTTTATTTATATATATGAGAATTTCTTATATAATAAGAATTATGGACTTCTCTATACAGATACATCAGATACCCCCCATACCCTCCTTTTCACTACTCAATCTTAACTGAGCTCCCTCTTCTCCCTCCCCCCTGTAACTACCCCCCCTTCACTGAGCCCTCTCTTCTGAGAGATACCCCCTCTCAGTACTTCCCCTTCATTAACCTACCTCTTCTGAGATACTTCCCTGTGAGTAACCCCCTTCACTGAGCTGTCTTTCCTGAAAGATATCGCCCTTGTGAGTATCCCTTCGTTGAGCTCCCTCTTCTGAAGAGATATCCCCCCGTCACTGAGAGATATGCCACATATCCTTACCCTCCCTTCACTGAGCTCCCACTTCTGAGAGATAGCCCCACTCTCCCTACCCTCCCTTCACTGAGCTCCTTTTTCAGAGAGATATGCCCCGTCAGTACCCCCGTTTCACTGAGGTCCCTCTTCTGATATCCCCCCCCATCATTACCCTCACTTCACTAAGCTCTGTCTTCTGAGAGATCCTCCCTGTCAGTACTCTCCCTTACCAGAGCTCCCTCTTCTGAAATACTTTCGTCAGTACCGCCCCTTCACAGAGCTCCTTCTTTTGATATCTCCAGTCATTACCCGCTTCATTGAGCTCCCTCTTCTGAGAGATATTCCTCTGTCACTACCTCCCCGGCACTGAGCTCTGTCTTCTGATATCCCCCCTCTCCCTACCCTCCCTTCACTGATCTCCCTCTTCTGAAAGATATCCCCCCTGTCACTAACCCCCCTCACTGAGCTCCCTCCTCTGAGAGGTATTGCCCTGGTCAGTACCCCTGCTTCACTGAGCTCCCTCTTCTGAGAGATTTCCCCTTTCTTACTACCCTCCCCTTCACTGATCTCCCTCTTCTGAGAGATACCCTCCACTCCCTACCCTCCCTTCACTGAGGTCCCTCTTCTGAGTGATTTCCCTTTGTCAATACCCCCCTTCAATGAGTTCCCTCTTCTGAGATACTCCCCTGTCAGTAGCCCCCTTCACTGAGCTCTCTCTCCTGAGAGATATCCCCCTCCATACCCTCCTCCATACCCTCGCTTCACTGAGTTCCCTCTTCTGAGAGATATCCCCACTTAGTACCCCCATTCACTGAGCTCCCTTCCTGAGTGATAACCCCTGTGTGAGTACCCCTCCTTCACTGAACTCCCTCTTCTGAAAGATATCCCCCTTGTCGGTACCCTCCCTTCGCTGAGCTCCCTCTTCTGAGATATAATCTCCTTGTCAGTACCCTCTCTTCACTGTGCTCCCTCTTCTGAGAGAGATTCTCCTGTCACTATACCCCCTTCACTAAACTCCCTCTTCTGAGTGATACCCCCTGTCAGTACCCCCTTCACTGAGCTCCCTTTCCTGAGATACAGCCCCCTCTCCATACCCTTCCTTCACTGAGCTCGCTCTGCTGAGAGATATCCCCCCGTCAGTACCCTCCCTTTACTGAGCTCCCTCTTTGAGAGATATCCTCCCTATTCATAATGAGCTCCTTCTTCTGAAAGACATCCCCCCTGTTACTACCTTCCTTTCACTGAGCTCCTTCTTCTGGGAGAAATCTCCCTGCACTACCCCCTTTCACCGAGTCCCTCTTTTGGGAGATGGCCTCCCTGTCAGTACACAGGCTCGATATGTTCCTTCTTCTGAGAGCTCTCACCCCTCTCCGTAACCCCCTTCCCTGAGCTCCCTCTTCTGAGAGATATTCCCCCTCTCCCTACCCTCCTTTCACTAAACTCCTTCTGAGAAATATACCCCCTCTCAGTACCCTCCCTTCACTGAGCTCCCTCTTCTGAGAGAGATCCTCTCTGTCAGTACCCAAATTCACTATGCTCCTCCTTCTGAGAGCTAACTCCCCTCTACGTAACCCTTGTCACTGTGCTCCCTCTCAGAGATAAATTCCCCCTCTGACTAACCCTCTTCACTGAGCTCCCTCTTCTGAGACATAACCCCTCATCACTATCTGCCTTCACTGAGCTCCTTCCTCTGATAGATATCCCCTCTCTCCCTACCCTCCTTTCACTGAGCTCCCTCTTCTGAGAGATATCCCACCTGCAATAACACCCTTTCATCGAGCCTCCTCTTCAGAGATATCCCCCATGTCAGTACCCTCCCTTCATTGATCTCCCTCTTCTGAGAGATATCCCCCTCTCAGTACCGCCCTTCACCAAGTTCCCTTTTCTGATACCCCCAACCCCCATCAGTAACCCCCTTCACTGAGCTCTTTTACCTGAAAGATGTCCCCCTGTGAGTACCCTCCCTTCACTGAGCTATCTCTCCTGAGAGATATCCCCCCTCCCTACCCTGTCTTCACTGAGCTCCCTTTCCTGAGTGATTA